AGTCTTCAAAATTCTTCTTCTCACTTTCAAAGCTATCCACAACCTTTCCCCTCCGTACCTATCTGACCTCCTACACATCTCCATCCCCTCTCGCTCTCTCAGATCCTCCTCTTCACTACACCTCCATGTACCCTCTGCCCGCCTCTCCACCATGGGGAGCAGGGCCTTCACCTGCTCTGCCCCTCATCTCTGGAACTCTCTACGCCCTGACTTAAGAAACACCACCTCTCTTTCTCTATTCAAGACTGCTCTGAAAACACATCTCTTTAGACTCGCTTATCCTTAACTTTGCTGTATGTATTTTATATTCTTTACGCATTTTATATTCTGTATGTAATTTATATTCTTTTTGTATTTTGTATTCTTTATGTAATTTATTCCTGTTGATCTTTGTTCTTACTGTAAAGTGTCCTTGGGTGTCATGAAAGGCGCTTTTTAAATAAAATTATTATTATTATTATTATTATTATTATATGAGCTTGTGGAGCTTGCTTAGAAATGGCTTCCTCTTTGCACTGTAGAGTTTCAGCTGGCAACGGCGGATGGCATGGTGGATTGTGTTCACTGACAATGCTTTCTGGAAGTATTCCTGAGCCCATTCTGTTATTTCCTTGACAGTGGCATTCCTGTTTGAGGTGCAGTGACGTTTAAGGGCCCGGAGATCACGAGCATCCAGTAGAGTTTTACGGCCTTGACCCTTACGCACAGCGACTGTTCCAGATTCTCTGAATCTTTTGATGATGTTATGCACGGTTGATGATGATAACTTAAAAGTCTTTGCTATTTTACGCTGGGTAAAACCATTCTGGTATTGCTGCACTATCTTTCTGCGCAACAATGGTGGAATTGGTGATCCTCTTACCATCTTGGCTTCTGAGAGACACTTGACACTCTGAGAAGCTCTTTTTATACCCAATCATGTTGTCAATTGACCTAATTAGTGTGTGTGTGTGAGAGAGTGTGAGAGAGCGAGAGCGAGAGAGCGAGAGAGAGAAGTAGCGTGACGTCAATTTGAACCTGCCCACTAAAACCGTTACCGAGAGCATAATGAAAACACAATGTGCACTGTACCGAGCCGAGCTGTACTGGTACTAAAGGTACTAATGGAAAAGGGGCATAAAGTGGCCTATCTAATGTTTTATTCCAAAGTTTAGGACCAATGACTGAAAAGGCTCGATCTCCTCTGAGCTTCAACCTGGTTTTTGGTACTATCAAAAGCAGCTGATGCGGTGATCTCAGCACCCACGAAGGAACATTAAGAATGAAGTAAGGTTGAAGAGTTTATCCTCTTTTGTTTTAAGCAACAAGATTTTAAACACAAAAAGACAAGAGTTTAATTATATTGGCCCATTTTTGTCTGATGAAGCAGAAGAAAAACA